AATAGTTGGCCAGATGTTAGCCATGGTGCAACTAGATTGGAAAACCTGCATCTATATGACATTCAAACCAAATGAACTGAGTAGGCAACCTCCTAACCTTGCAGTGCTTTGATTTCCATGGCATGCTAGTCATGAAAAAGTGCACTGAAGAAGAACGGGGTTGCTTGGTGAATGTTCATAGTTTACAAAAGACAGGGGGACCTGTTGTTGCTCTGCCAGTGGGGTTGGAAAAAGTACCTGGTCATTTCTGTATCTGATTCGATAGATGTCAGAAGCTGTATTGTTCATTAGGATCAGCAGAAGGATAGTAAGGCAAAGACGGTGTATTTGGAACAGTTAGGGATGGAAAGAGCAGTTGGCAGTATAACCTTATTTTAAATAAAATTTTAACCTTCTCAAAAGGCCTGTTTTTCTCTTCTCCTGACTTCCGTGAACTCGCCACCTTTAAAGCAAGTGGCTGAAGGTTAAGAAGTGATTCTCTTCTGTTGCAGTTAAAAAAAATATTGCAATGATAGGTCAGACTAGCCCCAGTAGGTACAAGGAACCTGTAGGGTCTTGATTCACTGTGAAAGAATAGGCTCCTATTGTAACCATAGAGAAGAGCTCACAGCAGGAATTTCAGCTGAAGAACAAGTTGTCAAAACTGCTCTTTTCTCAGTGGGAAATAAAAGTTCTTTCCATCCCTCAGGTTCACAAGCGAGTAGATGCATGTGATAACCAATAACTTTGAAACTTTGGCTTAAATCTTCTTGCAATTCTGATAAGTATAGGCCCATTGAATTGGTGGAATTTCTATAGGGTCTGACCTGTCATCCAATATTTGAATCAACAGGTCTGTTGAGACAAGCAATTCATGGAATCATCAACTTGGAATGTACCACAAGGACATTCCATCTAGTTCCAAGAAAATCACAACCAATTCAAAGATGCCCATCCATCCATTGTTTAAAGACTTCCAAAGATGGAGAGTGTTGAGTAAAACAGTTCTTCCTAATGTTTAGGTGAAATCTCTTTTGCTCTGTTTGGTAGCCAACTGTACTACATAAACATTTGAGCTATATCTAGTGCAATTTCCCATGGACTCATTCATATTGCACGATTATAGTGTTAATGTTCCAGCTTTCTCACCAAGACAACATCCTGTTTGTTGAGGCACAAGAAGAGTTCACTGGAAGTGAATTCTGAATGCCCCTCCCTCCACTACAGGGGCCAGGATTCTATAGGGTGCTGTCGTGTAGTTAAGTACTTCCACTGAGAGAAAGACAGAGTATAGATAAAGTAAATAACAATAAGTAAATCACACTGTACAGTGTTCCCTCAGTTATCATGTGTGTTACGTTCCATAACCACCCGTGAAAAGTGAAAATCCACGAAATAGGAACGCTATATATATCGATGGTATTCTGAGGGTGAGGCAGAAACGAGAGATTTAAAGGCACAGTACACTTTTTTTGCTAGCTATAAGGAAGAGGCTATAAGGCCATGATTTACATACTGCTTTGTATCTTCTCTCTCTCTTTTTAAATGATTGGCTGCCTCTCTCCCAAGAGGGAGGGTGAACACCCCTTCCACACTCCATTGTTGAACCACCCCTTCCACACTCCATTGTTGCCAGTAGGCAAAAACCCATAAAACAGCGAGTCCGCAAAAAGCGAACCGCGAAGTAATGAGGAAACACTGTATTTGTGTAGTGTGAATGGGTCCCTGGTTAGGAAGTTCATTAAAATGGTCAACAGAAATGTGGACTTGAGTACAATCAGATCAAATTTATTTGTAAATTCTAAATATTAGTTCTAGACTATGGCCCTAACCAAATTAAGCAGCGTCTTCCATTATTGTTAAACTTTCAATTCAAAATGTAAAAGATCAGGCAGTTGATGTAATAGGCCATAGCTGCCTTTTTATAAAATCTCAAAATGTTTTTGAATGGATTGCTTACTGTTTTCCTATTGGTTTGGTAGTTTGGAGGGCATAGACAGCTGTCCTGTGTGTAGTGAAAATGTTTTCGATGCAGCATTTGCAGTATTCTGAGCATTTATTTTTTAGATGCCAGGAATTCATTCATTGTTTTGAAGGTCTGTCTTCACCCATATTTTATTTTTGAAATGACTCATAAAGAAGGTGTCCACTGCTTCTATTGACATTTCCAGTAAAAACAAGTTAGAGCTACAGATTTACTGCGGTCCTTATCTTAATGTCACCTTACGTCGGACCCTTTCACACTACAGAGTTACAACGCTATGATTCCACAACTGCAATTTTAGGGAGAGACATTTAGAATTCTCAGCCATTGAACTCGAATGCCCCAACAAACTATACATTCCATGACATTAGAATTGTGTACTGTGAAAGAGCCTGTTGACTAAGCCAAAACTTAAATTCTATTCGATACCTTTATTTAATGTTCTCTTTCAACTGTGCTTTTATTCATTCTGCTAGAATCATTCTTTCAAAAGATAATTATTTTTGTACTGAAGAAGATAAAAACAAAACCACAGCCATAAAAGGGATGGGGATTAAAAATATGTTTCGTATATGATGCTATTTTGTGCAGTGAATTATTTTACTGCAGTTAACTCACAGTGAATCAAAACGTAAGCGATATTGTTTAATGTATAATTTTGCTCTGTCAGTGAAAAGAGTCCCATTCTTTCTTAGACCTTACTACATGTTGTAGCACTTTGAGGAGCTATAGGATTTATAGGAAACAAGAGTATGGAGGCCAAGCTCGGGATGTATCATCACTTTGGATTTAATCATTGCTATTTTTTTTTACCAGCAATACAGGTTTTAAAGGGACAAGATCAAAAAACTTTGAATTTCTAGATTATACTACCAACTTCCATAGCTATGCCACCTTTTAAAAACAGTGCATGGCTGTACATTTTGGTGGCAGTTTCGTGGGCTTCCCCTCACATTCATGTGACTTACACATGGATCAGTCAGAAACCACGTGAACGTTTTGGATGGATAGTTTGGTGCAGTGAAGAAACAAGTTTAACCAAATGTCAAATTTTAGAAAAATCAATCTAGCTGTGGTCTCCCCATTTTAAAAACTAGACCTGTAAGACTGAAATCTCTCAGTATCCTCAACACCCATAGCAAGTGCTGTTATGTCCCTGGAAGACACACATGCTCCAATTTTGGGAGGTCTTTTGTATAGGGGAAATAGTTACAATTGTGGAGCAGCCTCTAGAGAGTTTCCTCTCTTCTATCTTTTTGATTGAGGTCACCCAGTCAAACACTAATAAAAAAACCACCAATATTATTGAACTTCAATAATCTGAAAAAAGAAGTGCTTTCCCCTGTATCAAAGCCTGTCTTCCTATCAAAGGATGTTCAGTTCTTTTGTCTATTTAGTTTTTCTTGATTGAGAAGATGAAGTAATTTTTCAGAGCTAATCCTATTCCATCTCTTTTACCCTTTCTCTTGTTTACCCTTCTAGATTTTCAAACCACAATAATTAATTAGGCTAGATCTTAGTCAAGCCCATGACTAAGATCCTGTGTCATTAACAAAACAGCAAAGTAGCATCACTATAGTTACCTGATCATGCCAACCTACCACTTTGTCATCATAGCTACATCCATCCATGCCACCTCACTAGACCCTACCTTTGCAATCTGGCTGCAGCCTGACTAAAGTGTTTTTGCAATGCTGCAGATCAGGATACTGTGGGGTGATATCTGCAATGCTTTCCCAGTTACAGGCAACTGGAAAGACCCACTCCAGTTATGAGATCAACTAGCAATTATGATAATAACAGTTTGCAGTTGCATTGTGAGCAAATAGAATGCCAGCCAGTATCTGTTCTTAAATCTCTCCTTAGCTTGTCATTGATCCTCATGTTTATCTTAGATGAAGTGGAAAGAAAATCTAGTTTTAGCTCTCTGTAGAATATATAGGTAATCGTGAAAGTTATTGACTCTTCCTTGACTACAAACCCACCCCCATTGGGTTATTTAAAGAAAACAAATCTTCAGGAAAGACGAAGAATAGATTAATTTTATCAAGAGACACTGATAAAAAAAAATCCTGTTCCAAGCATATTCTTAAGATGCTCCATAGAGCCTTAGCCATCACATAGTTATAGTGCTGCAATTCCACTTGAACTGCCTCAAGGTTTATAGTTTGGTGAGGCACTATACTTCTCAATATTTCACCCTAGACTGCAAATACTGGGATTCCATTGCAGTTAAACTGGAATAATAGCATTATAATTGTGTAGTGGGAATGGGCATTTTGTCTCTCCTCCTGAGCCACTATTGTATGCCTGGTACTGGTTGGCGAATTTCTGGTTTCTACTAAACAAATTCCACTACATTTTCAGTCCATAATGTTGTCATGTGTATTTGTTGTGCCATCCTGGAGTGCTCAGAATGGCATCGTCATGTGATCTTAGCAAATTATTCATGACCTGATTCCAGCATCTTGAGTTGTGCCCAGAACACGTTGGAGTGCTAAATAGAAACTTGCCCTTTTCTGGAAGTGGAGAAGCTGTTGTGCCTTCACTCTGTTTTTGGATGAAGAAATTTCTTCTTGCAGACTTGTTCATATCTTTTAACGGATCAGCCTCTGAAGAAAGACTCATTTCAATGTTCATATAAAGAGACTCCAGATCACTTCTCCCTTCCTTTCCCCAGCAATTCTTCAGAAATGTGGAGTTTATTTGAACCTATCTGGATAATTCAGCCAAAGAGTTGAGGGGCTCCACCAGATTGTCAGGTCCTTGAGGTGTGAGAAGATGTGAGTTTTGTGAATAAAAATATCTAGAGATCTTGGAGAGGAACAGCAAGTGGAAAAATTGGGAAGAGAGGAAACTATAATAGAAATGACTAAGGTATCAGATGGCCAGATCAAAATCTGAAATATGGGGAAACTCCAACAGAAAAACTAGGCATCTGCTGTGGTGTGTTGTTCTACTGCGCTCTGTGCCAGGGCTTATTCTTCTCCTCTCTGCTCATCATGTGTCCTTGTTCTGTTCTCTTCTGTCTCTACAGAAAGTGATGCTTCCTACAGGTGCTGCATTCCGATGGTTTCAATAGGAACAAGAATCCCAAAGCTCTGTCATCCAGTGCAATGTCACTGCTTGCTTGTGTTGTCTCAGGCAAAGAATTTTTTGGCGGAAATGAATGGATGCGCCTGTGTCTCCTTTAGAACCAAAAATATTTTCTCACAGATTTCATTCCTGTTTTTTTATTTTATTTTTTGGCATTTGTTTAACATCTTTGAGTACTAGTAACACAAACATTAACTGCTTTTCAAATAATTTTTTTTAAAAAAAGAATCCATAAAGTACCAAGATGTAATAGAATATGGACAATCAATCAAATTATTTTCCTGTGTTTTGGTGTTGATGTTGTTTATGTGTGGAAGATGCAGTTCTTGTGTAGAGAATGTAAATTTACAGTAACCTTTTAAATCTAGTTACTAATAAGCACTACTGTAATTAGCACAGCTGTTTACTCATTCATATTTTTGTTTGATTAATTTCCATCATTAAAGAAAAAGAGTGTGGCTAGTTTCTAGAATGCCTCAACTTCCTGTTTATAAATGAGAATATGTTTGAAATAAAGTAGTTTCCCTTTCCCTAACCATACACATAAGATAAGGTTTAATCAGCAAGATGTTTGGTATTAAAAAGTGAAAGCGTGCTGCAAAACTGGCAAGTCTTGAAAGTAAAGCAAAATAATTATTATGTTTTATTCAGAAAAAAAAACTGCACACTAGAATAAACCCAGAACTAATTGCAATGATTCTCTTTTAGAAACCATTTGAAAATGTTACTGGAAATTAAATATAAGCTATTGCAGAACCTGTGCTGAAAACAAGTATTTTTCTTCTGTTCAAAGCCCTTGTCTCCTGCTTTCTCACCATCACTAACTGAAAGGCTGTTTGTAATGTTCTAGCAGTTCAAGCTGTTTTGTGAATAAAAATGAAAGCATGTTTTGTGTCCTGGTTGACATCTCTATCATTCCGTCTACTTGGGTTTCACGCAATACATTGATTTTTGCTTTGTCCGAGGTCAGTTCTGAATAGATGAACATGCCATACCCCAAATGGCTTCTTAAAAATGTCAAGGTTCCCCTGCCCCAGCAATACAACTGTTTCAGTGTTTGCTGTGGAGCCCCCATTGGTGCAGTGGGTTAAACCCTTGTGCTGGCAGCACTGCTGACTGATAGGTCAGCAATTCGAATGCAGGGAAAACAGGTTGAGCTCCCTCTGTCAGCTCCGGCTCCCCATGTGGGGACATGAGAGAAGCCCCCCACAAGGGTGGTAAAATATCAAAACATCTAGGTGTCTCCTGGTCAGTGTCTTTGCAGACAGCCAATGCTTTCGCACCATAAGTTTCTCAAGGTAGCTCCTGACACGAAAAAAAGTGTTTGCTGTGAGTGACATCAAGGAGTGTTGAAGTTGACAAAATTTTAGTTCTTTGACTTTTTAAAATCACTTGCTTTAAATCTTTAATAAAGCAAGTGGAAAAATCAGAAATTCCTCTCTGCAATCTACCCAGGTTACCCATTAGCTGAGCATGTTCTTGTTACCCAATATGAACCAATTGGAATGGACAGCACAGCTAAACCTTTGGTGAACATAATGTCTGTACTTAGTGGAAAACCAATATGTTTAGAATTGGAAATCGGGATAACATTTATGTTGGCGAATGTATTGACAGGACAGCTGTCTTCAGCTACAGCAGTGGTTCCCAACCTTTTTGACCAGGGACCACTCTCCAACATTAGTACCAAAAGGGTTATGAATTGGTTTTTGGTCAACTTCAGATTCGGTTTAGTTATTTGGGGTGCTAAAGCAGGAAATTGCATTGGATAGAACACATTAGCTCTAGTTTCTGATACAGAACATATGCCATCCAATAGTCACTATCTGCTTGCCCACAGAAAACCATATTCAATAAGCCTCGGTACTATAACAGGTTTCGCAAGAACAATTGCTCTCGTTGCAACGGTGAGTAACGGTGAGTTCTTGTGGACCACAGACCACAGGTTTGGAACCACTGAGCTACAGGATTGGAAATGACTTAACCACTGCTTGAATGTTCCTGACGGATACAGAACTCGCAATGGAAAGGTGGAATTTGGAAACATGGCAACAGTCCAACTTACTCTCAAAGATGGTATAACTGAATTCCTTCACCCCTGGATCTAGTATAACTGTTCTTAGTTATCTCCTTCCTGGCAGATAATTGCAAGAAAGCTGTAATAATTTTAGAAAATAAAACACAAAATGCAGTGAGTCACTTTCCAGGGTGGGAAATGGCAGTGGTCTCTTAGCCAGACCATTTCGACATATCAGTCCAAATCTAATGTTCTATTTTAAAGATTTTTCCTTCTTTGAAAGTGATCCCTATGCTGGATATTTCAGGCATTTTGCACCTGGCAGGAAACCGTCATTAACAACATTGCTGTATTTGAATTTGTTTTGTCAATAAAAGTTATTAGGTGAATGTTTGAGAGATTGAACATGTTATTTCAAAACTGGACGCACAAAGGGAGAAATTATCAAAATCAGATTTTTGTCGAAATTCTCCTGTAGTTACTACAAACTACTCACATGTTCACTGAAAGTATGAAATATGGTTGCTTTGCAAGCTGAGAATGGAAAAAATCTGCCTCTAAACCATCCAATGATTCTCATCAGCCCTCAACAGTGCTGCCATTTCTTGAGTTCCATTTGCTGTGTAATACAAAACAAAAAACCCCTTGTGAACATGGTTCTGGTTCTGACCTAAAACCAGTTTTAATAAACAGCTTAAGTAAACGGCTTTATGCCACTAGTGCAACTGTTAAAAAAGTAAAAAGATATTTAGATATTCATTGAAGTTAGGTTGTGAAATATGTTGGCAATGTTTTATGCATCTGCATAGATTTTCAACACAATTTAGAATACCTTGGTGCACATTTTAAAATCTAGTACTTCATAGCATGTATGCTAATGGTCTGTTTAAATCCGTGTTTCTCAACCTTCCTAATGTCATGACCCCTTAATACAGTTGCTCATGTTGTGACCTCCATTTCATTGCTACTTCATAACTGTAATTTTGCTACTGTTATGAATCGTAATGTAAATACAAGGTATGAAGGATGTGTTTTCATTCACTGAACCAAATTTGGCACAAATACCTGATACTGGAGAGGTTGGGGGGGGGGGGTATTGATTTTGTCATTTGGGAGTTGTAGTTGGGATTTATAGTTCACTCACAATCAAAGAGCATTCTGAACTCCACCAATGATGGAATTGAACCAAACTTGGCACACAGAACTCCTATGAACAACAGAAAATACTGGAAGGGTTTGGTGGGTATTGGCCTTTTGAAGTTGTAGTTCACCTACATCCAGAGAGCACTGTGGATTCAAACAATGATGGATCTGGACCAAACTTGGTACAAATAGTCAATATGTCCAAATGTGAACACTGGTAGAGTTTGAGGAAAATAGACCTTGACATTTGGGAGTTGTAGTTTCTGGGATTTATTGTTCACCTACAATCAAAGAGCATTCTGAACCCCACCAACGATAGAACTGGGCCAAACATCCCACACAGAACCCCCATGACCAACAGAAAATACTGTGTTTTCTGTTGGTCTTTGGCAACCCCTCTGATACCCCCTCATGACCCCGCTCCCCGGGGTCCTGACCCCCAGGTTGAGAAAGGCTAGTTTAAATGAATATTCTATATTCCAAAGTGCTTGTACTTTTTAGAAAATTAGTGACAATGATACTTTCAGCCTGCTATATAAAAATATTAGAACTCCAAAAACTGAGTCACATTAAGCACATTTCAAACAAACTAAATCAGCAGCATAGCAATATAGAAGATACTCGTGTCCTGCTCCTGCTCTTTGGAACAGTGAAGAAAATCCCAAGGTTTTGCACGAGCAGACTTACATGGAATTATTAAACTGGCTGGCTGAACTACCAACAGGTTTCTAAAATCTCATCAAAAAACCTCTTGAACAGGGCAAGGCTATGAACATCTTTCCTCCAGCTTATTTTTCCAGTTTTAAGATGTGAGATGCCCTTAATTTTTTTTTTTCAAAAGGTGAATGACAAACACATTTGAAATATTTCTTATGCAACAATGTTTAGGTACATGCAGCTTAAAATTCAGGGAATCCCTTGAATTTGCTTCCTGTTTTATAAATATGTGGATTTCCAAAGAAAAACAAGGAAAGGGAAGTGTGCTCCTGGCTTTGCTTCTCTTAGTCCCGGTGGCACAGGTCAGAAGCCCAGATAACAGAAAACGTGGCTGCAGGAAAAATAGGAAATCACAGTTTTCTGATCCCAAGAACAGCCACTTCCTACATTGGGCCAGGAAGGCAATGGGCATTCCGATCTCTCACTAACATCTAATAATCAGAGGTATGATCTCTAAATATAGAGCCTTGTTCAACTTGGATGTCCAAAGTTAAAGCCATCAAAACAAGGATCTTTGCCAGAATCCTGTGGCGGTGAGTTCCATATGGTAACTTCAATTATTTGATCAACTTTTTGTCAGTTTTGAGTGTTACTTTGTTCCATTTTTTAAGCAGCTTCCACACAACCATGCAGAAATTAAAACAGTCTTTGAATGGACATGATGTTACTGACATCTGCATATATGTCCTTTTTTTGGATGGAGCACTTATCTTGTTGTCCCTTTTGGCATCAACCACATTTTCTCACCATCACTGCTTATCAGTTGGGTTGGAGGGAAGGTTCTTCAGACGAAGTATATGGCTAATCTGGATTCTAAAGGAAAGGCAAAGAAGAGTGCACTCTATCTGTGAATGCAACCTCATTTCTACCTCTTCTTCAGAAGTATTTTCCATCCTCCCACCTTCCCTTCCTTCCATTTGACATTTGCCAGGGCAGTGCAGAGATTCTTAACGTTAAACAATTTTTGTTATTCTGAGAAGGGAAACAATATTTTTGACCACACTCTTCCCACTAATAATGATTTTATAGACTATGGTATCCCTCTTCAACATTTTTAAAAGATCCCATAAATCTAACACTTGAGATTTTTTTGCAGTGATGCTGGAGAGTCCCCATCATTTTGGTATTTCCCTCCGGATTATAATATCCTTTTAAAATAAGGCAAATTGGGCAGTCTTGTAAATGCGACCACACCAGTTATTTGTACAATAACCAGTGCAATTTTATTTCCAATACCTCATCTGTTGAATTTAACAGCTTGCATTGTCTCAGCACACTAAATTTCCAATTTCAATATTTTCTTAGCACACTGACCACAACATCGTTTCTAGTAGTTTAGAGACAAACACCTGCCACGCTACATGTGAATGTAGCCTTTGTGTGTTTGTCCTAGTTTAATTTGAGCTTACTTTCACTGAAGGTTAAACCTGTTTGGGTATCCAGCCAGTTGGAGTTTTCACACATTCTCCAGTTCGCTTGCTTAAAATATGATTGAAAATATTACTAACGTGTGAGGAGGAGGAAGTTGTACATGAAAAACAATATAAAAGTAATATAAAATGGGAGGGCATTTCTTGAGAGTAGCCTTAACAGTGTTAAGAAGCAAAGACCACCAGCATTGAAGCGATGGTCCTCCACCATCAACGCTGGACTGGCCACATTGTCCAGATGATCGACCACCGTCTCCCAAAGCAGTTGCTCTACTCCGAACTCAAGAACGGAAAACAGAATGTTAGTGGGCAAGAAAAGAGATTTAAAGATAGGCTCAAAGCGAACCTTAAAAACTTTAGCATAGACACTGAGAACTGGGAAGCCCTGGCCCTTGAGCGCTCCAGCTGGAGGTCAGCTGTGACCAGCAGTGCTGTAGAATTTGAAAAGGCACGAATGGCGGGTGAAAGAGAAACGTGCCAAGACGAAGGCGCGTCAAGCCAACCCTGACCGGGACCGCCTTCCACCTGGAAACCAATGCCCTCTCTACGGGAGAACATGCAGGTCAAGAATAGGGCTCCA